TGCAAATATCACATACTACACTACCTCTGTTCTCTCATCCACCATTTGAAATTGTAAACCATTTTAACAAATTTTCTGTTTATACTATAGGTAGTTATTGAAATCATCATTTCTGTTTAATGCGAGAAAGCAGCAGATGCCTTAGTGGGAGCTATTAGGTTTAGGTCATATATTGTGTGCACTGGGTGCTGTTGATATTGATCTCACTATTAAAGGTGAAGCACTGGAAACTTTCAGGTACACTATAGGTCTACATGGTAGAATGTATGCTCCCTTAGATCCATACTTCTAGAGGGGAAAACACACTAACAACATGAAAAAACAGGGGAATAAAGCACCCCAAACAAACCAAGAAAGAGGCAGGAATGATTTCATATTAAAAGAACTAATTTCTGTATGTGTGACAGGAACATGCAATGTGTAACCTAGGATTCTCTTTTCCTACAAAGAAGGCATTGTTGGGGTAACTGGTGATATAACAATGTGGAGATTAGATGATATGATAGTATTTTTTCAACATTAATTCCTTGACTTTGATCATGTGCTGCTGTGATTACTAAAATTTTTTGCTCTTTGGAAATACTTAGAAGTTTTAAGACTGAAAGGTAATCATGTTTACATCTTTATTCTGAACCTTTCAGAAAATAATAGCAATAAGTTCATACTTACACATGGGAAAGAAAAATGGAGAGATGAAAATTGCATTTGCACATATCTACAGTAATGTACCCATACTTATATGTACAAATTCACAAAGAGAGAAAAATAAAAAGAAAAAGCAAATGTAGAAAAATGTGAATACCTGGGAAAAGTGGGCAAAGGGTATTCAGTAATTTCAGTCTGAAATTCTGCCAAACTTAAAATGTTTTTAAACAAACAAATAAAAAATATATATAAAAATGCAGAACTAAAAATATAGCAGCAATTAAAAGACTTGCAGGATTCTGTTTGTTCCATTTATGCAAACAGGTCTGAAGGTCTTGTCTAACCGTACCTACCGCAGGTGAGCACAGAACATAGGTCTCAAATTTGGTTTCTGGCATGGCTATTCTCACAAGATCATGACCCTGCAGAGGGTTCCTAACTTCCATAAAAAATGGTTGCAAATATATAAATCTCTACTATTTTTACTAATGAAAATCAATAAAGAAATCCCTTTCAAAAACTACAATAATCCATGATTACTGGAAAAATGATACACATTTTAAAAATCAGTATTTGATTTTACTCACAAACCCCTTCAAAGAAATATCATCGAATGCTATTTAAAGTGTCTCATATGAAACATTTTGAAGAGTAAAACTAACTCCTTCTGTAAGACATTTAATCAACAATTGTTTATTGTGACCAGAACCTTTATATTAAAATAGAAAATAGATACTAAAATTTTAAGAGTAAAATATATACCATGTCAACTAATCAAATGTGCTAACAGAAAGTAAACATTAAATGTGTAAAAGCAATAAAAACACTTGTAGATGAACTTACTGAGAAAGATTATTTAGTACACCTTAGTATATAAAATTGAAGATATAAATATATATAATATATATAAAAATTGCACAGATATAAATCTCTAGTATTTTCACTGATAAAATTAATATAGAAGTCATTTAAAAAATCACAAGAATCCATTAATACAAGAAAATCATATAATATTACACTAGCATAGTTAACAAACTCTGAGATAATTTACTATAATAAAATCCTATAATGTAGTTGACCACATTAATATGTACAAAGATAAAGTTGGGTCGTCATGTACCTAACTTCTAAGAAGGCACTTTAAAATACCGTACCGCTCTTCATTTTAACAAAAACCAATAAAATGCAAATTAAGATACTTTTAGCTCTCATCGCCATCATTTCATATTATCCTTGATATAGCAGCCAAACCAACCCAACAGGAAAAATAAATTAGCACTGTTAGAATATTGACAGTAAGAAATACTAAATCATTGAAAAATGACATTAGTTTAAGTGTATGCCTGAAAGGCCAGATAGAGGGGGAAAAAAGCCATTCCTAAACTGAAAAAAACAACTTCCAAATGAGTTCAATCTTCATAAAGTTCATGACGTAACTGCAAAGAGAAATGGACAACTTAGGTAAAGTGGAATCACAATAACAGAACTGTGAATCTCTGGAATAGATCTTATAAGCAAAAAGAACTACAAAGAAGTGGTAGATTGTATTGATGGGTAGTCATATTTTTAGCAGCAATAGTATGGTTTTATGTTTTCCTGATATATCTCAGCACACTACCTTCTATTTTATGGAGTGTTACATCTCTTTCCCTTTCAGTAAATCTATGCTCTGCTGCTTTCGTAAAAGGTTTATTGATATATGATTGACAAATAGGAATTATACATGTCTATGGAGTATAATGTTTTGATATATGAATACATTGTGAAATAGCCACCAAAATAAAGCTAATTAACACATCGCTGGCTCTCATGATGAGAACTTCTTTTATGAATATTTTTGTGGTGAGAACACTTAAAAGCTACCTTCATATCAACTGCCAAGAGCAATGCGGCATGGTTGATGACAGTTACCATGCTATATATTAGACACCAGAAATCATTTATCCTACAAAATAGAATTTCATGCTCTTTGACAAACAGCTTCAGTTTGTCTCCCTCCAGCCCACGACTGCTCCCATTCTGCTCTCTGCTCTGAGTCTCTTTTTGACTCTACATGTAAATGACAAAATACTTTTGTCTTTCTGTGTCTGGCATACATCACTTAGCATAATGTCCTCCAAGTTCACCTTTGTTGTCACAAATGATAAGATTTCTTGAAGACTCTTAGAAACATAGCACAGTGCATGCATCTGAGAGTAGCCGTGAAAGACTCTAGGATGGGTAGATACATTCTACAGTTTTTACATATTGTGCAGGTCAACGTTTAAAATAATCATCTATGGAAATGTTTCCCATTTTTTTTATTTTAGGAGAAAAATTATTTTATGAAAGTTACACATGACACAACGGTTTTCAAATAAAAATTAGAGTTTATATAGAATTTACATATTTAACTACTATAATGAAAAGAATAAAAAA